AGCCTTACAGCTAACTTTAGCCTTATAGCTAACTTCAGCCTTACAGCTAACTTTAGCCTTACAGCTAACTTCAGCCTTACAGCTAACATGAAGCTAACTTTAGCCTTACAGCTAACTTTAGCCTTACAGCTAACATGAAGCTAACTTTAGCCTTACAGCTAACTTTAGCCTTACAGCTAACTTTAGCCTTACAGCTAACTTTAGCCTTATAGCTAACTTCAGCCTTACAGCTAACTTTAGCCTTACAGCTAACTTCAGCCTTACAGCTAACTTTAGCCTTACTGCTAACTTCAGCCTTACAGCTAACTTTAGCCGTACTGCTAACTTTAGCCTTACAGCTAACATGAAGCTAACTTTAGCCTTACAGCTAACATGAAGCTAACTTTAGCCTTGCAGCTAACTTTAGTCTTACAGCTAACATGAAGCTAACTTTAGCCTTACAGCTAACTTCAGTCTTACTGCTAACTTTAGCCTTACAGCTAACTTCGGTCTTACTGCTAACTTTAGCCTTACAGATAACATGAAGCTAACTTTAGCCTTACAGCTAACATTAGCCTTACAGCTAACTTTAGCCTTACTGCTGACTCTAGCCTTATAGCTAACTTCAGCCTTACTGCTAACATCAGCCTTACTGCTAACTTTAGCCTTACTGCTAACTTTAGCCTTACTGCTAACTTTAGCCTTACAGCTAACTTTAGCCTTACTGCTAACTTTAGCCTTACAGCTAACTTCAGCCTTAATGCTAACTTTAGCCTTGCAGCTAACATGAAGCTAACTTTAGCCTTACTGCTAACTTCAGTCTTACTGCTAACTTTAGTCTTACAGCTAACTTTAGCCTTACAGCTAACCTGAAGCTAACTTTAGCCTTACAGCTAACATGAAGCTAACTTCAGCCTTAGCTAACTTCAGCCTTACTGTTAACATCAGCTAACATGAAACTAACATATGCCTTACAGCTAACATGAAGATAACTTCAGCCTCACTGCTAACATCAGCCTAACATCAGCTAACAAAGTGATGAAGCTAACTTTAGCTGCTCTCTGGATCTGAGCGCACTGATCCTAATTTCTCTGTCAGTTCCTAGAAAAAAAAACGTCACAGAAAAATGAAGTTAAAGCCTTGTGTGTTTTAGGAGGACTTGTGCTTGGGACTTTCATTGTGAAGGACTGAACTTTGTATGGATGCTCTTATTGTGAAGGACTGAACTTTGAATGGATGCTCTTATTGTGAAGGACTGAACTTTGAATGGATGCTCTTATTGTGAAGGACTGAACTTTGTATGGATGCTCTTATTGTGAAGGACTGAACTTTGTATGTATGCTCTTATTGTGAAGGACTGAACTTTGTATGGATGCTCTTATTGTGAAGGATTGAACTTTTGTATGGATGCTCTTATTGTGAAGGACAGGAATAATGTTCTGAGTTTTGTTGATTTCATAGGAAGAATAAAGAAACTTCCTGTTATAATAAGAACACTCCTAACTCTCCATTAAATGTAAAACGTATTAATTACAGACATTTGGTCCAAAACGATTGTTGATTTTAGTTCTTCTCACAGCTTCAGGAAGTTTCTCAGCTAAAATGACAAAATGAAATAAAGTCTGAACCAAAGAAAACACTGTGGTGACTCACTCAGACGGGCCTACGACCCAGACTGAGAGCAGATTTCATTCTTTACATGTGGAGCAAAGTCTCATAAATGTTTATAAAAGTCACGACTCGACTCAGTTTGGCCCTTCAATTCAATTCAATTCAATTCAATTCAATTAAATTCAATTAAATTCAAAAATACTTTATTGATCCCAGAGGATCATGAGTCTGTCGTGTCTGTTTTTTTCTTTTTCTGCATGGTATCTTGCTTTTATTTTTTAATCTTATGTCATCTTTATAGTCTTGTAAAGTAATTTTTATTTTATTCTATTTTTAACTTTTATAATTTAATTCTATTGATAATGTCACATGGTAATAAACTGTTTTGTGGATGTATGTATCTGCTGCTGCTGTTACACCTGAATTTCCCCACCGCTTGACAATAAAGGTTGTTTCTATTCTATTCTATTCAATCCTTGTATTCTATTTGATTCTTCTATTCAATTCTTCTATTCTATTCGATTCTTCTATTCAATTCTTCTATTCAATTCTATTCTATTCTATTCTTCTATTCGATTCTTCTATTCTATTTGATTCTTCTATTCTATTTGATTCTTCTATTCTAGTCGATTCTTCTATTCGATTCGATTCTTCGATTCGATTCTTCAATTCTATTCAATTCTTCTATTCTATTTTATTATTCTATTCGATTCTTCTATTCAATTCAATTCTTCTATTCTATTCGATTCTTCTATTCAATTCAATTCTTCTATTCTATTCAATTCTTCTATTCTATTCAATTCTTCTATTCTATTCAATTCTTCTATTCGATTCTTCTATTCGATTCTTCTATTCGATTCTTCTATTCGATTCTTCTATTC